CAGCGCGCACTTGGGCAGCATAGCCAGCTGGACCCAAGCCGCCTCGCTGTTGGTGTGAACGACGAGGGCCGCGGCCTGCGTCAGGCACCGCGCCCATAGGTCCCGAGCACCCTTAGGGACGTACTTCTTCGTGCCGGCCTGGCTGGCAAAGACCTCTTCCAGTGAAGGCAACCCTCGCGGCGCGGGCAGCTCGCTGTTGGCGCGGCCGCAGCTCGAGCAGCGGGCCGGCACCTCGGGCATGCCTGCCCAAACCGCGTGTGGAGGAAACGCTGGCAAACCGTGCGTTGCGATAGGCTATGTTCGTCCAAGTAGGCCTGTGGGACCGGCGGCAAGCCTGAAAACCTGCCGGCCGCATGCTCATTGAGGTGTTGTCGCGTTGCCTGATGGTCTGACCAGCCGGCGCTGGCGGCAAGGTCACTGCGAGGGCAGCCCGGGACGGGGCAACCAACGCGGGCGCGCCGGGCGCGGCGCCGTGGAGGGGCCTCGGCTGCGTCGGCAGCTGGTGGAGGCGGCGGCGGGGGTGCTGCACTGGGCGCCGCGGCAGCCGCCTGCGGGGCGGCCATCGGCTCCGCGGCGGGAGCTGCCGGCGGGGCCACCGCGGACGGCTGGTCAAGGGCAACGCCGGCCAGGACTTGCGGGGCCACCGCCCCAGGGCCACCGGCGGCAAGACCGGCCGCGCGGCGGAGGTCCGGCAGGGGGACGCCCGCATCGACGTGCATATTCCGCTCGGGATCGATGCCTAGTTCTGCCATCCTCAAGTCCAGGGCGGGATCCACGCCGGGGTCGTCTCCCTCAGTGAGGTTCCGCCTCAGACGGCGCCCTGGGGACCCGCGGGGAGGACCAGTCTCGACGAACGTGTTGCGGACGCCGACGTCGTGACCCGAGGGCGGGACAGCCGCTGGCGCTGACCCTGACGAGGGGGAGCTTGCGGAGGCTGCGGGTCGTTGCAACGACGACTCCTGTGGAGGGGAGCGGCTGCGAGCCCCGTTGCTGGGGGCGTTGCTGCTGGGGGGAAGCCCTGGCCGGCGACTCCCGCCTCCACGGCGGCAGATACAGCGTTTGCGCTCGAAGAGACATGTGTCAAAAACACGTCCGAAGAAGAAGAAGAGCCTGCTGGAAAAGCGGGCGACCGCACGGCTCGGAGAAGCAAAAAGGCGTGTCCTGCCCAACCCGCCGAAGACGACAAACATGTGGAACACCACGGAGACGACAAGCATGTGGAATACCACCCCGGGCTTCATGCAATTGTGGTCGCAAGCGTGATGCGTGTACAGATCGGTTGCGAGAAATGGACGTCCCTGAATAAAGCGGCGCCGCACGCTCCTGTCAAGACACGTTGAGAAGGAACTCCGTGAAGAGCCGCCCCGAATGCTAGAAGCTTCAAGGGCGCCGACGGCACCCCGGAGGCCGCCATCATCAAGATCGCATGGATAACAGTGGGCATCATCTGTCCGCCGGCGGCGTGAAGAAACTCGGCCAAGCATGCGCCGGCTAATGCCGGGGGGGCCCAGCCCATGGCGTCAACAAGCAGGTCCGGCAAGGGGCGCACGCAGAAGTACGCCACGTCCAGGGTGGTCGACATCGCCGGCAAGAACATGCGGAGGATCTTCATCACTGGGGCCGCGACCGCTGCTGGCGCCTGCGGCCGCAAACTCTGGGGCACACCGACGCCAAGGGGGCTAGACGATGTGCCAGAAGCACCGGACGCGCTGGCGGCACAGCTGCGGAGGTGGGAGTGGAAGTACAGCTCCGCTGGCGAGGTGCGCATCGCCGTTGGGCCCGGCGTCGCAACCACCGCGTGCACGCAGAGGCGAGGGATGGAAGGCGCGATCAGGTTGAAGGTGGCCGAGGCGTTGGTCCTGGCAGACGGGGCCGGGCCGCAATCCTGTGGCGGAGAACCTCCGGGGCCCCCGAAACACAGCAGCAGGCGGCACCGCAAACAGGGGGAGGGACGGGTGGGGCGGTCAAGGGTGGGGTGATAGGGGGGCGGGGTCGCGAAGTCGCATCCCCACCAAGATAAAGTCCCATGCCTCCCCTGGGGAATGGAACAAGGTGGGAAGTGCCATTTCGTACCAGGACCCCCCAGAGCCGGCTAAAGCGTGGGGGAGGGGTCAAAATCTCCATAATCGTTTGGGGAATCAGCCCCAATCCGCACACCAGACCAGAAGCCGGAGACCAGGGTCCACGCGGACCCAGGAAAAGGAGGGTCGATCGCCCCCGCCAGGAATTGGATGCCACTCCAGGTCCGCGAAGGCGCCCCAGACGACGAAGCGACCGAGGCGTCGAGCTCGACCCCAGGCGAGTAATCCCCCACGTGCGCCGGCAGCACGGCGCGCGGCGCAGGCGAGGGGCTTGCGGGATCCTCGACTGGGGCAGCCCTAAAAGGACAGAAAATAAACCCGGCACCGTACCCCGCGATCCAGACATGCTGGTGCGGGGACGGGCATGACAGAGGCAGAGGAGGAGAGAACGGGCAAGGAGGACAGGAGGAGGAGGAGAAGAGACAAGGCAAGAGAGAGGCGGGGACAGGGGTAGAGGGGTGGTCAGAGAAGTGCAGGCTCGCTCACTCCGGTTCCCGTGCCTCCCAGGAGGAGGGATGGGCTCGGCGGGAAGGAAAGAGCCTCGGAGGGGGTTGACCCACAGAAAGCGGAACCCCCAATGAGGCTTCAGCGCGGCGGCGATCCGCGCGGAGACTCTGGTCAAGGGAGCCCCCTGTTTGCCTCCGAACGTCCACGTGCACCACCGACATGAGCCAGGCAGCGGCCCCCGCGCGGCAACGGCGCCGTCCGCGGCGTGCGGAACAGGCGGGCGGCGGGCAGGCTCCAGGAAAGCGGGCCTCAGGAAGGCCCTGAGAGGATCCACAAAGGCCTCCGACACACAACAGGGGAGCAAACGGCGTGAGTGGTTGAGGTCCCAGGCCCCCCACTGACGCACCGAGTCCATGACACCGGGTAGGGGTCGCAAAGTGTTCCCAAGCCTTGCTCGCTCGTGCCCCGCGGTCGCGGACCACGAGTCCGCATGGCGGAGCGTGAACCAGATCCACACCCACAGGGGGGAAGGTGAGGAGGGCGGGGTGGACCTCGGGACGGGAGTGACAACCAGGGGCAACCCAAGGAGGGGCTGGGGAGGCCTCGAAAGATTGTCGAAAGTAGGCCCTGGAGGCCCTACTCCCTTTTGCATTTTGACCCTCCCCTGGGTCCACGAACACGCACGAGACGGGCCAGGCGCGCGAGCAGCCGGAGCACCAGGGCGGCCGCCAGGCGGGAGGTCCAGCTCCGTCACGAGCCAGGCGTGGGCGTGCGTTGGGTATGTAGCGGTGCTGGTCCATGCTGTACTGGAGTCGTCCAAGCCGGCGGGGCGCTCGTCCAGTTCCGTGGCGACCTCGCAGGGACCAACGTCGTAACACTGATCACCAGTGGCGCCCCCGCAGCTCCCAGGTCCACCGGACTCGGCGCACCCCAGGGTGTGATAGTAAGTCACGGCCGCGGCGATGTCGTCCACAGAGCTGGGGCACGGGACTCTCAGAGTCAGCTCCTTGTACGCGGAAGTGTCGTCGGGCCCCTGCGCCAGCACGGTATGGCAAACGGGGCAGGCCGTCGGAGAAAAAAAGGGATCGGGCGGCTGGTTGGGGTGGGGCGTCAGGTAGGGCGTCGGACTGGGGTGAAGCGTCGGGTCGGAAATCGGGCTGGGGTGGGGCTTCGGGTTGGTGTAGGGCGCCAGGCTCATGTACGGCGTCGGGTGGGGCGTCGGGCTGGGGTAAAACGTCGGGTGGTTCGTCGCGTTGGGGCCGGGCGTCGAGTTGGGGTACGGCGTCGGGTAAGCCGTCGTACGGGGGTTGGGCGTCGGGTGTGGCGTCGTGCTTGGGTAGGGCGTCGAGTGGGGCGTCGTGATGGGGCAGGGCGTCGGGTGGGGCATCGGGTAGGGCGTCGGGTGAGGCGTCGGGCTGGGGTAAGGCATCGAGTTGGGCGTCGTACTGGGGTGAGGCGTGGGTCGAACACAAGCGTGGGCTGCGTGGGGGGGTCGATCGTCCTGCGGCCGAGCACACGCAGGTGTCTGAGGTCGTGGGGGTCGGCGGGGGTGTGGGCAAGCAAGCAGGCAAGAGGAAGAGTGGTGCGGAGGGCAGGGGGGTAAGAGAGTCTGCTCGGCACATTCGGAGGGAGAGGAGGATGGAGGCAAAGAGAAGGACTGTATCTGCGGGACTCGAGGGCGCCGTGTCATGACCGCGATCGCCTCCGAGCTCCCCGAATTCGGAAACGGAGCAGGAGAAGGGGGAAAAGGAGGATCAGGAGCAGGAGGAGGAGCATAGCAAAACTGGGTGCAGGAGGAGGAGCATAGCAATTCGGAAACGGAGCAGGAGGAGGAGCAAAGGAGATCCACCGAATGCGATACCCGTTGCAACGGCGGTATCCACAATTGCATCTGGTTGGGTTCTTTGCTGGGATCACTCTCTCTCTCTCTATGTCTCTCTGTCTCTCTCTTTTTTCGTCTCTCTCTCTCTCTATATATATATACACATGCACATCATTGCCTCTCTCTCCCTCTCTCTCTTCCTCTCTCTTTATTGTTGCAGACCGCTGCTCGTAACCCTTTTCCGTTTCCAAAGCGATGGCGAAATCGGGGTGCAAGAATTCTGCCTGCAGAGATGCATTACCGCAGGCTCTGAGTCGACATATTCTATGCAAAGGATTGGGCACACGAACGGGTAAGCGAGAGAAAGTAAATACGTCCCTGGGGACCACATGGGCCGCTCCAGAAACCATGAGTACAACACATTGGCAAATCTGCTTAGGGGGGCGTCCTCTGTTTGCGCCAGCTTCGGCTGGCTTCTCCCGGCCCTGTGGCACCTTCCGCCGAAGAGGAATAGTCAAACCCATTGATCCCATGAAGGCGAGGCCCTTTCTGGGGCGCCCCGCATGGGAATGCAGGACGGCAAACGGAGGAGAAGGAGCAGCTCGAACGATCGAGGCACAGAAGGCCGTCCCCTTGAGCAAGAGGCCCGCCTTGGTGCGCTGCTCGTCGCGACCTCTCGGGCGGCGGGGCATCACTTTTCATGATTGCGTCGGGGTGGGCTCGTAGACACAAGCGGATCTGCGCGCTGGAAGAACACGTGCTCGACGTCAGCGGTGTTCGCAGCGGCGAAGGCGCGGAGCACGCGGATTTTGGGCCCCTCCGGGGCCCCGGACGTGGCCAGGATCGGCGGGTCTCCACAAACGCCGATCACGATGTCCCCAATCTCGCGGACATCGGAGCACCGCCAGTATTGAGTAGTGGTGGGGGCGCCAACTCCAAGGCGGGAGGGATAAGAGGAGAGGTAGTGCAAAATGATGCGGGCTCTGACCCGGCCACGGGGCAGCCCCCCCTTCGGCAGCACGCGAGGGACCTCGAATCGAAGGGATGGCTGGATCCTCCGACCTCTGCCGAGCCTCCGTCCTCCCACACCTCCATCCTCCCAACTCCCTCCTCCTCCTCCTCCCTCCCCTTCCCTCCTTCTCTCTTCTCCCTCCTCCCTCCTCTTCCTCCCTCCTCCTCCTCTTCTCCTCCTCCTCCTCTTTCTCTTCTTTTTATTCCTCCTGCCCCTCCTCCTCCCCCTCCTCCTCCTCCTCCTCCTCTTTCTCCTCCCCCGTCTTCTCCGAACTCCACCAGGGAAGGGAGCGAAGAAGGGGGATACGGAGGAATGGGGGATGAGGGGGAGGGGGCGGATGATGATGATGAGGAGGAGGAGGAGGCGGAGGAGGACTAGTATAAACGCAACAGCTAAGACTCATCAACGATATTGAAATACACCCTCCCTGCAAAATCCCTCTTCGCAGGCCCTTGCAAAAAGGTCATCTCCACGGAAAGAATTGCCCCGTTGAGGGACAACAGTGTGAACATCTTGAAGCGTGGCAGAACACCATTCTCAGGACTTCAACGCCACGAGCTAATCTGACGGTTACGTCTTGGCGATCCCGAATCGTGCCAAAACGCCATTCCTGGGACTTCGACACCGCGAATTTAGCCCCGGGAACCAGTGAAAACCTTGCAAATGTGCAAAGCGAATGTGCGTGGCGCTAAGGTGAGAGCCACATTTTGAAAACGAGCCGCCCTCAATCCGTGAAGCTCTGGCACGGTTTTGGAACGAGTGTGCGCGGCGCTAGGGCGAGAAAAACATTTTGAAAACAAACCACCCTCAATCCGTGAAGCTCTTGTACTCGGTTGCAGCGAATGTGCGCGGCGCTATGGCGAGGGCCACACTCCGAAACTGGTCCGCCCTCACCCCGTGAAGCTCTTTCACATGTTTAAGACGAGGTGTGCGCGGCGTACGGCGAGAATCACATTTTGAAAACGACACGCTCTCAATCCGTGGTCCTCTGGCACATTTTTGGAACGAGCGTGCGCGGCGCGAAAGCGAAATCACATTTTGAAAACGACTCGACCTCAATCCGTGAGACTCGTGCATATGTCTGCAACGAATGTGCGCGGCGCTCAAGCGAGAACCACATTTTGAAAACGGCCCGCCCTCAATCCGTGAAGCGGCGCTAAGGCGAGACCCGCATTTTGAAAACGGACCGTCCTCCATCTCTGAAGCTGTCGTCAATGTTTAAGCATCAGGGTCATAACTGGTGAGGAAATCTCAAGCGAAACGCTCGGCCCGCCCTTCCGACCGGCCTCGGGGTGCGACAGGGAGGAATTAGTTGTAAGGAAAAGGAATGGGGGGGGGGAAGCGAGGGGAGGAGGATGAGGAGGATGATGATGATGTGGAGGATAAGGCCTCCTCCTCCTCTTCTTCTTCTTCTTCTTCCTCCTCCTCCTCCTCCTCCTCCTCTCCTTCTCATTCTAATCTTTCCCTGCTTCTGCTCCCGCAACCAGAGAATTCAGGAAGACCATTGAAAAGCGTTGCAAATCGCTGAATACCTTCGAAGCCCTTAGAACGCCTGATTTTCCGCCTCTTCCTGCTCCTCATTCTAATCTATCAGAACACGTTATTCAACTTCTCGACATGTCCTGAAGCAGCCAAGGACTTTCGAAACATTTCGAGCACCTCCTCCTCTTTGCTCATCGCTCTTCTTCCCCTCACTCATGGGACTCCCCAGGACCGCCTAGAAATTCCCGAAACCACCGCCTACCCGAAGCTCTCCCCTTTCTCCTCCTCCTGCTCCTCCTCCTTCATCCCTCTCTCTTCTCTGTGGTCCCCCACTTCTCCAGGGTCGCGACGGCAACGGGCGGGGCGACCTACGCGCAGGCGCAGGGAGAGGTCGCCGGTGCCGCCGGGGAAGTTGCCCAGCTGCAGCTCGCTCAGCTCGAGCACCTTGGAGGATGATAGTGATGAGGTGTAGAGGGGGCGGATGAGGAGGAGGAATGAGGAAGATAAGGAGGAAGAGAAAGAGGAAGCGTAGGAGGAGGAGGAGGAGGAGGAGGAGGAGGAGGAGGAGGAGGAGGAGGAGGAGGAGGGGGAGGAGGAGGAAGAGGACGAGGAGGAGGAGGAGGAGGAGGAGGAGGAGGAGGAGGAGGAGGAGGAGGAGGATAGGGGGCGGATGACAAGCTAAGTGCGCTCGCGCCTCATCTGACATCCTATCTCTGCCTCCCATCCCTTCCCACGGCGCTGTTTATTTCTTTGTCCGGGGACACGCATTATAGCCGACCTGTAACTCCCACAGAAAGACCATATCGTGATATGCGCGGTCGGAACCAAGGGAATTGCGTGCACAGGAGGAGGATGCGGCGGGTGAGCAGGAAGATGAGCGGGAGGAAAAAGACGACGACGAACAGCAGCAGCAGCAGCAGCAGCAGCAGCAGCAGCAGCAGCAGCAGCAGCAGCAGCAGCAGCAGCAATAGAAGCAAGAATTGAAGCGGAAAGATCGGGATCAACAAGAGAACCAGGGGCAGGCGGAGGAGCGGAAATGAGGGGGGCGACAACGATGAAGAACGATTCGTATTCAGAAAAGTGGCCCGCGCTGGAGCGAGATGAACAGCAGCAGGATCAGGAACTGGAGTGGAAGGAAAAAGAAAGAGAGAGAGAGAGAGTGAAGGAGAGAGTAACAGGATAACCAGGGGAAGGCGGAGGAGGGGAAATGATGGGGGGTGACAACACTGATGCAACCAGAAAAGTGGCCCGCGCTGAGGGGGGAGCGTCATTCTGAACGACGGGAGCAAAGCGCCGATCCGAAAACAAGGCCCACGCTGCAGCGGGAACACCATTTTGAAACACCCAAGCCCTATGAGCCTTAAAACAGCAGAGAGCAATCACCTTTTGAAATCCTGAATGAAAACGCACCACGCGGAGGGGGCGGGAGATCTTCCCGAGAACTTCAAGGGAGGAGGGGGAGTATAATCCATATTGTGTAATTGTGGAGGAGGGGGAGGAGTGGAGGAGGAGGAGGAGGAGGAGGAGGAGGAGGAGGAGGAGGAGGAGGAAGAGGAGGAGGAGGAGGAGGAGGAGGTGGAGGAGGAGGAGGAGGAGGAGGAAGAGGAGGTGGAGGAGGAGGGGTAGGAGGAGGAGACAGAGGACGAGGCAGGACCCAGACCTCCAGGCGCCGTCGAGAAACGGCGGCTATTTCTTTGGTTCTCCAATGCTGGGGCCCTGCCAGGTCCCAGGGCTAGCGGGATGATTCAAAGGATGCGAAGCCAGCCCGGGGGCTGTGGTCCAGAGCTGCAGGGGCCTACGTCGTGAAAGGGTGTGCCTGCGTCGTGAAAAGGCTCACGACGTCGGAGGTCTGGGGGAGGAGGAGGAGGAGGAAAACGAGAGTGGAGAAGGAAATGTAACCTCAGGCGCGCCGACGCATCCGAAGAGAGGTCGGCGCATGAACTTTGCAGGAGGAAGGTCCTCGCCACGATCGAGCAGCGCGGGAAAAGATGCCCGACCGAGTGTGAAGGGGCCGCGTGCCGGTGCTCAACGGCCAGAGGCGGGAGCACGGATTGCGGGGGCGATGATGGGGGCGAACAGCTCAGGGGAGAGCAATCCATGCATCCAAAGGCGCCGATGGTCCACGCCTTCGGCGAGGCTCCCGTGCGAATGCGCGTGACGCCCGCGACCCAGACCTCCGACGACACGACACTTTCATGACGTCGACCCCCAGACCTTTCGAACCCTTCCCCAAAACGGGCTCTTCGTCCGAGCCGTTTTTAGACGGCCCCGAGGCCCCAACGGTTTTGCCCCCAAGCGAATTTGCAGCCTGCATTCCCTGGGCGCGCGCATCGTGAGCGCACCGGCGCTGCGGCCCCGCGGCAAAGCAGCCAGCACTTCGGACGAGCCTTCGATGGCGTCGTCTGCCACCCCCGCGGCGCGGCGCGCTTGCCAAGCCTGGCGCGAGAAAGTCGCGCGGCCGCGACTCGCGAGCGCTATCGGAAACTGGGCCACCTGCGCGGAATATAGTCAATGCGACGTCTTGCGCCACTTCGGCGGCGCGACCGCCCTCTCGTCCTTCTTGGGGGCCCAGCCGTGGGTGCCCCCTTGCCAGCCCTGGGACGCGGAGAACCGCTCCCACTGGTGGCGCTTCCCAACGCCCGGGCTGTCCGAGTGACCGCCCTTTGGGGTGGACTTCCCGCCGCCCTTGCCAGCGCCCTTGTGTCTGGACGCGGCCGTGCCGGCTGCCCTGCCAATGGCTTCCGCCTTGCCGCTGGGTCCCTTGTCAGCTTCGCCTCTGTCGTAAATGCCCTCGGCGATGCTCAGCAGTGTGCGATCGCCCTCTCCGCCCAGTTCTTGGGGGCGACCTCGGCGTGTACAAGCGCCAGATGATCGCGTCGCTTCTTTGCCCCCGCCTGCGCGAACTGCAACGAAGCGCGCGCGCTCGTGCACTGGCCGCGAGCATGGGCCTGGCTGGCCTGTGTCACCACTGCCTCAAGATGCTGCGTGATCGCGAGCGGCGGGAGCTGGCCGAGCGCCGCGGCCGCCGCTCCGTGCCTGCGATTTCGCGCCCCGCGACAGAGTCCGGCCGCGGCGCGGCGCAGCGCCTCTGCCATGCAATCGCCCAGCTCGTGATAAACGTACTCTTCGTGGGGTCGTTCGCCGGGGCGGCGCCGAGAGCGCGGGCGAGATCCCTCGCTTCTTTCGACGCCTCTGGCTTGTCGTCTGCACTGCGCGCGTCGCCGGGGGCCATCCAGGCCGGAAGCCAATGCTTCATGTCTGTAAAAACAAATGGCACTGCAAACGCGCGCTTCTCTAACTTCCGCACCTCGGAGGCGAGCCGATCGGCAATTCTGGTGCTGTCGCGAACGGAACCGCGCGCGCGCGGGGCGCCGAAGCGACGGGCGCGCCTGGGCCTCGACCAGATTGCGGCAAGCCCGCAAGCGCTGGCTGCATTGCGATCTCCGCCGCTAAGTTGACGCGCGCAATGCCCTGGCGCGCCGCGCGCTGGATCGCGGAAGCGCGCCGGGCGCGACGCCCGGCCTCCGGGTGCGCACTGGTATTGGGCCGCAACTTCTGCGCTGCTGATGCATTTGGCCAGGGGCGCCCTTTTCCCTGCCGCGGCTGCCCTGTCGCCTTCGAAATCCAACGCTGTTGCTTGCGCTGGGACCTCGACCGTCCCTATTTCTTGCCGCGGTCGCAAGTCCGCGACGGCGCCCAGCAGTTCGGACGGCGCTTCTTCGAATGGCCCTTCTTTCGCGCAATCAACGCTGACGCTGCCAGAAAACTCGCGCGCCGCGGACGTCGCGGGACACCTCGCAAAACGCCGCGCGTCGAAAGCGCTGATCGGGACCTTTGCTGATGCGCGATGCGGCGGTGCCGCGGGGCGCGGGCGGTAATGGCGCCCGTGCCGCAGAGGCCAGTGGTGGGCTCGAGGCGCATTGACAGCCGGGGCCCCGATGGTCCGCCTGCCCTGATTGGCCAGTGTAGGCCGCGACGCATGCGAGAGAGCCCGCGCCGCGGTGGCCAGTGGTAGGCCTCGGGCAGAAAGACTTGGACGGGGCACTTCTTGGCCCGCCTGTCGGCACTGTCCACTTGAAGGCCGTGGGGGCGGCGAAAGAGCCCATTCTTCAGAAGCCAATAGTAAGCCTGGGGCGGGTAGACTCTGACGGGGCACGAACTGGTCCTAATATCCGCATTGGCCAGTGGTAGGCCGCTGTGGGGGCGAGAGAGCCCAAGCCTCGGATGACAATGATCGGCTTGAGGTGGATGGACCTTGGCGGGGCGCTGTATGGCCCGTTTGTCTGCATCGGCCAAGAGTGGGCCGCGGAGAAGGCGATAGAGCCCATTCCTCAGAGGCCAATAGTAGGCATGAGGTGGACAGACCTTGACGGGGCACTTTACGGTCCGTCTGTCCGCATCGGCCAATTGTAGGCCGCGGAGAGGGCGAGAGAGCCCATTCCTCAGAGGCCAATAGTTGGCTTGAGGCGGGTAGACCCTGGCGGGACACGAACTGGTCCTTCAAACCGCATTGGCCAATCGTGGGCCGCGGTGAGGGCGGGAGAGCCCATGCCTCAGAGGCCAATGGTAGGCATGATGTGGATAGAACTGGACGGGGCACTTTATGGTCCGCCTGTCTGCGTCGGCCAATAGTAAGCCGCGGAGAGGGCGAAAGAGCCCATGCCACAGAGGCCAATAGCAGGCCTGACGCGGCGTGACCTTGACTGGGCACGAACTGGTCCTTCTATCCGCATTAGCCAATGGTAGGCCGTTGTGAGGGCGAGAGAGCCCAAGCCTCAGAGGACAATGACAGGCTTGAGGTGGATGGACCTTGGCGGGGCACTTTGTGGTCCGTCTGCCCAGGCAGGCTAGTAGTAGGCCGCGGTGCGGGCGGAAGAGCCTGCTGCAGAGGCCAGACGTAGGCCTGATGCGGAACGAATAAGCGCGAGGCCGCCCACGCGCGGGCAGCCACCCGGACCCCCGAGGGGGCAGGCCCATGGGCCGCAGAGGAGAGCCAGTTTACGAGCTCGGCAAAAACGGGAGAGGGAGGCTGAGGGGCGGAACCGCCCGCCTCGGGGGTTCTTCGCCCCTCAGGATATTATAGCCATGACACGCGTACCTGGAGGAGGGAGGGGGAAACGAACCTGCACGCAAGGGGGGGGAGGGCTGCGCGGCGAGGCAACAACGGCGCGAGCACGCGACACAGACCCCCCCACACACACGCACACACACAACACACACACACGCACAGACACACACACACACACACACACGCGCACACGCACACACACACGCGCACACAAGAAACCCAACAGGCAGCGGGCCTGCACGTGCCTGCGGCAATAGCGATCGCCTGCGCGGCGCCGCGGCGCGCGCGCGCGCCCCCCGACGGGCCTCGCGCGCACCTGCGAGTCCCGCCTGCGCAGCGGCGCAGCGAAGGCGCGCGCGCGCTCGGGCCCCTCCCC